CTATTTAATGCACGCGATTTAAAAAAAAATTGTGCGTTTGTATTTCGTTTTCAGTTACACTACAAATATTTATGTATGTTAATTAATTTCGCCTCGACTTAAGGAACTGATAATTAAACTATAATTTCTAGTTAGTTGAAAATTATTATTTATTTCCCAACTTATTTATTATGCATAAAACACTGTAAATTTTACTAAACAAATAAATTCTAAATGTTCGAACAAAAGCACAGAATTTTAATTATTTTAATTATTTTTAATATTTTTATAAAATTTTTTTTAATTTTTTTTAATTTTTTTTCAAATTTTTTTATATAATTTCCATTTTTTGGTTTCCATTTTCTATGTACAGCTTAGTTATGGTCCACAATAACTTACACCTTTACAACACCATTAAAACAGAGACTGTTTTTTGTAATTATAAAAAAACAAAAATTAACGAAATTAAAAAACTCTCATAGTGAAAAAAAAAATACTCAAAACTAAGTATTTTGTAGTAAAGCAAGAAAAAATAAGCTAAAACTGACAATCACATTTATTAAAGAGGAAAATTTTAAAAATTAATTTAATTATGCCGGAAGGATTAAAATTATATAGTTAAAATATACTGACTTTTTAGTAGTAGAATTGTATATGTTTGTATGTATGTACGCCTTCAGTTATAGATTTTGCTTTGCCAGAGATACTACTTGGTAGATTCTTTTGTTAGAGAAAACAAGAAAAAATGTTAACTTCCCTACACAAATACAAATATTCCTTTCAGGAACTGTGAGCTGTAAGTTTCTATGGCAGCTATACAGGGTTTGTCCGGAAAGTAGTAGGACTGAGTCGATTTAAAAAATTTATTGAACCAGTCGTTACAATTCTGTAAAAACTTTCAAAATAGGCTCTTCTGCCGATACAGCGCTACCAGCACGATTTCCAAGCATTGAAGGCGTCACGAAAGATATTTTCCGAAATAGCCTATAGATCCAAAATGATTCCCTTCATCGGCCTTTGCAGGCAAGGAAAGAAAAGAAGTCTGGGGGCCACATCTGGGCTATAGAGCGGCTGCGGTAGCGTTGGGATGCCGGTATTGGTTAGGTAGCTGTTCAGAAGAAAGGCGGTATGAGCCGCGGCGTTGCCGTGATGCTACTTCCAATCGGTTGCCATTAGCACATTCACTGACTCCCGCTCAGTGAATGGCGTACTTGGAATTAAATCATCAGAATTGCATTCTCGAGTTGTGGCGAGAATCGAGAGTGACCCTTGTACAGCTTCTTTCTAAATACTATAACAGGTTAGACCCTTACTTATCCAGAATCGACCCTGACATACCAAACATACATATGCCCGGCCTGTAAAGAATCCCCGCATGATACTAACACTTCTTTGCTCTGTTAACCCCACACATCTGAAAAAATGTGTCCATCGTATATTAGTTGCCTTCGGCAAAAACTGATGCCAAAGTTCGTAAAGTTATGTTCTTCAAATTAAAAAGTTGTCCATACAAGCACATTATTCCGATCGTTCAGCTTGTATAGTGGACCGATATCTAATGTTTCGAATGAACAACTTCTTGGTAGATAAAGTACGGGTGCAAAATTTCAGATCGATTTATCAAAAACTGAGGGACTTAAACGACTCAGCTCATCACTCTGATCATTCATATAAGTATATGTACTTTATAGGATCTCTGAAGTTTCCTTTTGGTTGTTACAAGCTTCGTCGCAAACTTAATACCCTGTCTTATAAGTCCAAACTTCGAAACAATTTAATAACTTTGGGAGGCTTGGAAATCAATTTCTGTGAGTGAAAAAAATGTTTAAGAACTTTATATTTATCGATTTACTTGCGAAAGATCGACCTGAAATCCGATCAGATCGTAATAAGGGGCATAATTTGACTGTTATTGAAACCATCTCCCGGCCATGAACCCAAAAGCTAGACATATTAAAATTATATTCCTTTTATCCAAACTATAATCATGGCCTTAGTGTAACAAAAAGTCCTCAAAATGGAGAAATCCGAAAAAAGGGAGATCAAATATTTGCACTCTTATACTAAAGAGTCACTCACTTGGTGGCTCAAAACGAATTCGTGTTCACCATTGCTCTGCCGAAAGCACCTGTATTCTATACAAGAGAGATCAAATGTTTTAACTGTCGAAAAAAGCTGCTAAATTCAGACACTTAACGGTATTATAGTAATATAAAAAAAATTATAATTTAAAACAAAAATTCTAGTGACTTTCGATTTTTAGTTGACTCTGACTCTAGACTTATTTTTTACACGGATCCACTGCTCTTTTTTGATATGCGCGCATACATACATACATATATGTATATACATGATAATTTGAATTTAATTTACCTAAAAAGTAACTAAATACACGAATCGTAGCTCGTGTAGCTTAGAGCTCGTACGATACAAGTGAATTTAAATCAAATCGGAAATAATAGACTATCTTATAGACATACATACTCATTACTATTATCATTATTATTAACAATAAGTGTAAACACATATTAACAATGTAAGTAGTTACACTAACAAAAATAATAATTTTCTAGAGTGAATTAACCGAACCGAACGTTACCGATTGGCAACGATCGGCAGCCGGGTAGGTCAACTAATTCACTCGCCATCTTTCTATGGACGGAAAAACCACCTTAGATGTTGTAATTCGCTTCTATGTATGTGTGTATGTTTTACTCGGACTCGGACTATGGGTCAAGTAATGGCTTTAAATTTGATGTTCAAGATATCGATATTAATGTTGTCGTTAAACATAATCAGTGTCATTATTGTTGTTGTTTGTGTATGCATAAATACATATGTGTAATGTATAAACGTATGAGTAAATAGAAAATGGTGAAAAACATTGTTAATGTCTATTAAAAGGAAAAAA